AAAGATGTTAAACACCGTAATCCTGGAGGGCTATTGTCTGGAGGAGGCATTCAACAATTGTTCTGATTGGGAATTACTGCTCAATATTCAGCAATATTTCTACTTTATGTATAGGGCTTCTTAGTGTCTTTCTAGGCCTAATCAACTTAAATAGTCCTTGACAGAGGAAGTGCAAACTTCTCTGCGTTTCACCGGGAGATAAACTGAGGGCTGAGGAAAAACTTTTGAAATAAATTTGTGGCAGAAATGGGAGTTGAGCTCACTGCTTCTGGTTTGTCTGCTGCAGCTTAGGCACATAAAACGAGAGGGGCTTTTGTTAACCACCTTGGGGTCTTTAGGGTAGAAAGTTCTGTATAGTCCTGGTTATGGAAAGCACTGAAGTACATGCTGAAATCCCCTAAGTCCACGGGACTTGAGTATGTCTCTGGAAAACTTTGCTGAAAAAGCATGGATCTTGGCGTGTGCTTAAGTGCTTGTTATCTTATAAGATCTATAAGCATGATTCTGCTCATCAATAGCACATTAAAATTGTGCTGTGTTCCTGAGAGAAGGTATTTGAGATTGCACAGCTAGAGGGCAGAAAAATTCAAGAAGAACCACCGATGTCCGTACAAAATACCAAGACTGAGTTTGGTCTGAAAGCCCAGAAGGAAACAGAGCCCTCTGGCTTCTTCGGTGAAAGTTTAGGAGGTGTTAGTTCTTGGCAAATGGGAGGGTGGAGGGCTAAGAGAGAATAATGAAGGAAGGAAAAGAGGAAGTTAACTCTTCTTCCTGCCTCTAGCTCGGGGGTGGGGGGGGAAATTTTGGTTTGTTCCAGTTGTACCTTGCAGATGAAATTCAATCCTCTCAAAAGACAAAGAATTTACTGTGGGATTGGATGCCCATGTGTCTTCTGCACTGGAAACCTGACGTCCTTTGAAAGGCACCTGTGCTTGTGATGAAAATAGGTGCTTTGTTCCTTAAGAGACTGATACGACAGGGGTTTTTAGCCTTTGCACAAGTAGAAAAAATACCGTGTCTTCTGGCAGGAGGTTCCAAATGAGTACTAGTGTGGTTCCAAACTGAAAGGTGTAGCAGTAGTGGGCATCAGAGACTCAAGAATGTTTCTACCTTGGATATTAAAGAGTTTGTGTTCTTCCTTGCTTGTAATCGTATTTGGAAGATTCAAGTTTTTCCAGTGGAATATTTGGGGGCTTTTTGATTTGAAGGGGAAAGCCACAATAAGAGGTTTAATTCCCCCCAGAGATTCCAGCGTTGCTGTGGATGAGCTAGAGAGTCTTGGGAAAGTTTCTGCCCTTCCCATTACTAAGTGTATAAAAAGGCAGTACCCACCAAGTGGTTCTGCTGTGTTCACAGATCCAATCAATTCCTGTTATCAGCTGCTTAATTTTCTTTTGGGAAAAGTTTCATTTTCTAAGGCTTTATTCCAGGTACTGAAAACTGAAGAGGGTGAAGATAGCATCCCCTTTTTCAGGTTCATCTTTTGAAGGAAGACTTTTTGTAGGTACTCATTCAACAGAACAGTGGACCTTTTTCCACACGTTTCTGACTCCCTGGGAAGGTCCTTCTGAGAGGTTGGGGCAGAATATGTACTAGAATGTGGTGTGAAGTGGGGACAGGAGATGTGAAGTTTTTGTTTGTGTGCTTAGTTTCTCTGTGTGTGTGTGTCTGTCTGTAGGTGTAGATCACTAGACTCTGCAACAAAGCTCTCCTGATATGAAACCATTCTCAGTAATAGCTCTTAGTGCTCTGAAACATTGGAGAGGAGATTCTCCTTTAGGTGTCTATCTCTAGTTCTTTCCAAAGCGGAAAATAAAGTGTAGACAAAAAGTTGTTTTTTAAAAAAAAAAAAATAATCTGGTGATGATGAATGTGTAGTCTCTGTACATCTGCAGATTGAGACTTAATACTGTTGTACTTCTGGGCTGACTTGCCTTCTCTAAGTGCTTACCTTGGTTTTATATATATAACCTAAAATTTTATGCTGAAAACTTAAAACTAGCTTTCTGTGTTACAGGAGCATGTCTGTCTTTTCAGACTAACAAAAAAGTCAGAAATGTGGGCTTTGGAGGAGGAGGAAGAGAGGATGCCTTTAGTTTGGGATAGCTGGCTAATGGGAGGAAAGGTGACAAAATGAACATAGACTAATCTCACTTATTTTGTGGAGACATTTGATCTTCTAAATTCACAGGTGAGTTGCAGTTAAATGGTGCAGATCCAGGCCCGTATCACTGTAATGCTTCCTCCCCTCCCCGTTCCTCGAAGGATGCTTCTGTATTACGTTGTTAGCAGTAGAGGTGGAAAAGACTCTGCAGCTGTTTCATCCCATTTAACTCCACAAAGGGAGAACTCTTTATTCCTCACCTTGCATCTTTATGGATGTTCTAAAATACTAAAGCAAGAGAGAATGGTTGTGTGTACATTTGAGACTTCTTCACCCTAGTGTTGGAGTCCTTCAGTCATGGATGTGTCTTAATCGGAGTGGTTGCATCAGTATCGGCTCCCTTTTGCATAGGAGGGACAGAAGCACGAGATGCTGGGTGATTTGCTCCCCAGCCCTGCGGTAAGGCTTCCCAGAACTGCAGGGAAGCAAATTCTGACACACACACACCCCCGTCCCACTCCCTGGTCCCATTTTAATGACTTTGTCATTGCTTTTGCAATTAAATGTTTGCAGCTCTCTGCATATAAATAGAGGTTAAGCTAGGAGTCATAGGATGAAATTGAGGGAAGAGAAGCTAAATATGGGTGTGGGAGGGAAAGAGGAAGACATCCCCGGTGTGAATTGTGTCCTTTTGGGAGGAGAGAGATTCCTGAAGGCTTTACTTAAAAGTCCACGTCAGCTGAGAAGCATTTTGCTGTATGAAACAGAATATTAGGTAACCTACTGTGAAGAATAATGCCACACTCAAGGGAGCCTTTAGGGATGCACAAGATGGACTCTGATAGGCTTCTTTCATCTTTAAATTTGGAAATAAGGTGTTTCACGCTGTGATTTCAAAATGTGAGCCCGCATGTGGTTGTACAGCGCTGTGCTACAGTAAAGAAGTTAGAATTGCTGTGGTGATTCTTAGGGCTTTTGGTGGTCCTTTACATAAGGCCTTAATGTGTGGGGTTTTTTTTGTAATTTATGGTATGAGACCGTGAGTGACAGGATATCTGATTTGTACAGCTGTTTAAATAACGCTGCCTGTAGTATCTGTAGAGACTTATGGCAGGTGCCAGGGGAACCAGGGGAATTTCCCCTTTGTAAACTGTTGAAAGTTTAGATCCAGATAGTACAGTCATTGGCTGGGGAGCTTTTTCTCTTCTACTCTTGTCATTTGAATATTTGTTTCCTAAATATATCGAGGACTTGCTGGTTACCCTGGGATGGATGTTGGGGATAGCTGTTGCCAGCTTTTTTCTAGGAATATTTGTAATCTCACTGTCTTACTGCATAGGTTTGATTTGTTGAAATTCCTTTAACCTAGCTCCTTGGTTAACTGAAGAACTAAAGTCTTTCGATCTGAGTTGTGCTGTGTCCATTAGGCCTTTCCAACTGGTTCAAAGCAGTCAACATTTAATTTAGATCATATCTCCTTTTAGAGCTGTTTGCCTTGTGTGGCAAGCCATTTCTTACCATGGGGGTCATACTGATAATTAGGGACTGGGGTCTCAATGTGCTAGGTATGCATTAACACTGAGTTCCAGCCAGCAGGCTCTGAAATCTGCCCTTAGCCTTTGGAGAACGGAAAGCAGTGATTTTTAGGGAGACTGAGGCTGGCTTCTGGGCTTCCAAACCCTTGCCTGCTCAGGTGTTCTCTGACGAATCAAGACTGTCCTATAAACTATTAATAAATCTGAAGGTCAGGTGGATTAGAAGACCTCTTCTGGCAATCAGAAGCGTTTCTTCTTTGAAATACTCTGAGATTTTTAGGAAATTTTAATTGTTCTGTGAAGCTTGACCTTTATTCTGTTTCAGATGGAATTTGTGTTAATCCTGTCCTGAAGGATTAGGCATCTGTGTTGATCATGCAGGGCTGACCATTAGCAAGTGAAATCAATGCAGTTTTGACTCTTCTCTCCATTTTATTAGCTTTAGAGAGACTTCCATTATTGGATTAGGTTTAAATTTTAATGCCTGTTACTGTGCTCATATGGATCTTGCCTATGGGGCAGTATAATTAAATGTCCGATTCCTCTTTGACATAAAAAAGGCATTGAAACTTTATAGTAGAGTGGAATAAGATGAAGCAAGAGATGCTAATTGAACTCTTGCACGTACATAAAGAACGTACAGGTGATGCTATTGTTATTTTTGTACCTAGAGAGAGCCGGTTTGAAACCTTTGTGGTCAGTGCTCTTTTTTTTTTTGTGTGCAGCCAGGCTAATGTGAACAGATTGTCTGGGTAGATTTGGGAGGCAGGTGTTCACATCACAAAACCACTGCTGTAATTGCCATGGTGTGCTGTGCCATTCTCAAACGAAAAGGTCAAAAGTAAATGGACACAAACTAACTTTTACCTGTATTAGTGGTTCTTTGAGGTCATTTTCCGGCATGATAATAGTTTAGTATGGGGAAAGTTGCTCACCAGTGACAGATAATCTTTACCTTCTTTCTAACAGAAACAAACATATACTTTCACAATGTCTAGCATCAAATTTTCAGCCTCCCCAGTTTGCTTTCCAGTTTTGAATGTTTGAAACCCCTTGGTTACAGGTTTAGGAACCACCTTTTCACAACTGCACTTCCTTGCTGTAGTGTTGTGCTTTTTCATACCTTCGATATGTTTATCATCTCTGTCTCTCTTCAGACTTAAAATTATGGCATATATTGGCTAAAAGCACGTTTTTCCCTACTAGTCTGGAGCAAGTAAGAATCTAGTTCTTGCTTTGGCTTTCCCATTAATACCTCAATTCAGGTGATGTGGTTGGCTTCACTTCTCAGACCTGGATATCACAAGGTTTATCTCCCAAGTGAAAATATATCTACTGCAGGGGGGTTTGTGGGTAGAGAGGAGGTAAGCTATTTCTTGTACAGCTCTGACTGCTTGTTCAGATGACTGTCACCTGCACACAGGCATGCACAGACTTATATTTCAGATGCAAAATACACGAAACTTCTGACTTGAGAACACATTCCTGAGTCACTTAAGCTTGTTCTATATATAGTATGTAATTTGTTTGGAGTTAGAAGTGTGTCTTCCCGTTACCCACTCTGATGATTGTGTTCTAGAACAGCTGCATTTGGGGTTTTGCTTTGCTTTACAAAGCTTCAAAAAGAAAGGTACCAATGATAAGTGATTTTCAACATGCACAATGGAAAGGGGAATGGGCTGTTTCCAGAGATTAAAGAAGTTCTCTTCTTTTTTTCCCTTTATTGCAGATGCCCGAGATGTAGAGCAGTTGAGTAAGAATAACATTACGCACATTCTTTCAATCCATGACAGTGCCCGCCCTATGCTCGAGGTAAGAGGTGTGGGGAGCTCTGTGGTAAATCCTTACTTTGCAGTTGACTGTTACAGTCATCTTGGTGTTAATTTCTTGTTCTGTACGATTGGCATTTTGAGACTGGTTTTCTTGTGGCAATGGTTGGCAGCTGTAGTTTTGCGCTTCCAGTCACAGATCTTGTTGTTGCTTCTGTTATAACAACAAGAAATCTTAACTGTCAAAGGAAGAGACAGTTACAGTGTCAATCAATATAACACAATAATGGGATTGTGTTATTAATTTAACAGCAAAGGTAAGTTTCCGTCTCTGTGGAGTTCATGCATCACATAAACAACAAAATTCCTTCTCCTCCTTCTCCACTACCAACCGTCCTTTGTACTTGGGCCCCTTTCTTAAATCTTTATAGCAGATGGTTGTGTAAGAGATTTGCAGTCCTCTTCTGTGTAAAATAGCCTTGTTTAGGCTTGGGGTGTGGGAGGAACCAGTACTGCCTCATATAATACATCTAACGTAGCAGAGTATCTGTAGGTCTCCAGCACTTTAACAGGAAGTGTTATTCCTGATTTTACTGGAGGGAAGCTGATCTGAAGAGCTGAAATGACTTGACTTGCTGTGTCACCTTGAGCAGTGGAAGAGCTGGGACCAGGCTGCAGGGCTTTTGTGTTGGACTGCTGTGCTTTCTTTACGCTAGCTTACCTTGGAAGGAGCGGAGTTTGGCTGGGCTTTGCTACACCTTTAAATCCTGCTATTTGATTTATGTTGGGAACTGTTGTCCTCTTAAATTTGTTTGTTCCTTCCCTGTATTTCACTTTTGATGAAATATGACAAAATAGTGGGTAAGGCAGTTACTGGTGTTACCCCTCAGAGGCAGCTGGGAATCTCTGCTTTTCATTCTCTTTGTGTAAAAAGTCTCTAGTGAATTTAGTCCTTAAACTCCAGAATTTCCATCTTTCCCAGGCAAGTCAATAGGTAAGCTGAACAAAAGGTATCCCTAATAAGTCACAATTAAAACCAAAACCAAGTTAATAGTGAATTCAGGTTGACTGAATAAGGGTGATGTAATGTTTCCTCTAGGGTGCTGTTCTCTAAAATGGATAGAAGCTTGCTTTGCTTTATTGTCATGATTAGAAAAGTAGGAAGACTAATTATGGCACAGATCAGCTGCAACCTCAGGCCAGTGTTTCTTGTGGTGGTAGTTTTGGCAGCCCACATGCCACCACCTCACTTGTGGTGGAGCATCTGTTTGCGAGGCTGCATGGTAAATAGATCTGTGAGCTTTTGTGGGTTAAAAATAACCCAAGTCACCATTTCTTCCTCTAACTATCCCCGCAAAAGACATGAGGGATTATATTTACCCAAATCTGTTCCCAATGTGGTTCACAATAGTGTCTCAAAAGTTAGTGGCATGGGAACAAGTAGTGGCTGGTTGAGGATGGACTTGCTTAATTCACCCCTTCTTCTAAAAGACATGTTTCTCCAACTGTGCCTTCTATTTTCTCAGCATGCAATGTACTCCTTTATGTGCAGGTGATCTGGAGAACAACTGTTAAAACTTCTCCTCAGTTCTTAAAGTCGTGGAAGGATTTCAAGTTTGTTTGGGAGCTGAGCTGATTATTAATTACTTTATCATTCATGGTCTTACTGTGGTGCTTGTTTGCCACTAAATGCTTCTGTTTAGGAACATGGCTGTAGAAAACATCTGTTAGGTTGCATTACTTCCTTCGTCATTTACATCTTTGCGAGGTTGTAGGTAGGTTTGTTTACAGCTTGTGTATCCACGTTGTGCTCTGGGCTTGTTCTCAAGTCCACGGCAGTGAAATGGGAACGCTTTCCCTATGTGTCTCTCTCTTCTCCTTTCCTCCCAGACTTCACTCTTGGAAAGTGAGGGCTGATATTTGTGTTCAGAAATTCATCTGATGTTGTTTGGACTTTTAAACATGCAATTGCAGTGATATGAGAATCTTTTTTTTTTTTTCCCTGAGATTCCCTGTTTTGTATGTATGTATCTACGTGAATGCTGATCATTGTAGAAAGCTGCCTTTCCTTGGCCTGCAGCAGTTGCATTTGTCTTCTGCTAACAATGTTTTATCTCAAGTATTTCCTAGTCAACCTGTGGGAAATGCTACAAATACTTCATTAAACAAAGCTTTCCGTGTAAGAAATGGAAGGTAAGTGTTTTTAGACGTCAAAAACTCAGTAGTGTTGTAGTAACATGTTATCAAAGAGAATTTGGCCTTTTTTGACTGTCTGTGGAACCAATGAATATGGATGCATACCTTAGCTCTCAAAGCTGTCACAAGTTACTGACATCTTGCTTGTCAGATTTTGAAGTTTCAGTAATGACTGTTTTGATGCAGTAATACTTCTGATACAGCACTTACAGCTGATGATGGTGGGTAGAGAGTTAAAGTGCCCAGTGTGGCTTCGTTGTCCGTACTTAAGAATGTGATACTCGAGAAATAAAAGTAAACATCAGACTATGTGGTGAACACCAACTATGTGGTGAACACCAACTGATATAGACTGTAAAATTATTTTCCACTGCTGTAACTTATGGCATTGCCCCTCTCTGTGATGTTACAGAGTGTTTTTACTTGATTGTTTAAAATACTGAAATTTGGTTTCAGACATTATCTCAATGATCATTTACAAACCCTCGTGGATGTCTGATTTATGGGTGGTTCATAATCAAAGTTTGGCCTTAGGAAGTTATTGGGTACTTTCAAGCTGGAATAATAGGAAAAAGTAGTTTTAAAAATCAGTTGGATTCTAAGACTTATTATACCTTTAGACATTGGCATCTTGCATGAAGTGCAAGACAGAATTGTTTTGTAAGGCTTCGAGTGATTTAGACTGGAAGGAATTTGCCAAAATCTGGCCTGAACTATCTTGCTATATTGCCCGTTAGTTCTTTTTGTATGAACTGTTTCAAGGAAATTTGTCTTATGATAAAACCAATCCTGAAGTTAATTTATATGTATAGAGAGCATCCTAAGGCTATTGTTCCAATAAAGTACACCATTGTTATGCAGGATCTGAACCACTTAGGTAAGCATTTTGTAGTTTAAAGATGCAGATTTATAACTTGGTCGAAAAAACCCTATAGGTAACCAGTGATGTGTCCAAGAGAAAGGACTGCATGCCGTATGGAACAAGGTTTGTTATTTCAGATGCACAGAAGTCACCCCCTGAGTCAGAGCAGTGTCCAACAGCATCATGTGTGTTCCCACAGGGACAATAGCCTTGGTGAATCAAGTTGGCTCCTCCAGAGCACTTTGGACGTCTGCCCATGGAATAGTCACAGATGTTTTGTAAATCCACACAAAAGCCATATACAGAGGAAAATAATTAGGTTTCTTGCCACCTGCTTTCTAATCTATTTCTCAGCTCAGGTTTTAAAATCTCTGTTCAGAATGTAAGACACACTGAAAGGTGGATGGGGAAACATATCTGAGTCTGCTTTAAATAATAGTGTATCTGGCAGTGACCTGTTGGATCTATCCAAGAAGTGTTCATCTATCTGTACTTCTGTAAGGCTTTTGAAACGGTCCTCCACAACATCCTTCTCTGTAGATTGTTGATATATGGATTTGATGGACGGACTTTTCAGTGGATGAGGAGTTGGTTGGATGATTGCATCCAGAGGGTAGTGGTCAACGGCTCAATGTTCAGATGGAGATCAGTGATGAGTGGTGTCCCTCAGAGGTCTGTACTGGGACCCGTACTGATAAATAGCTTCATCTGCGACATGGACAGTGGGATTCAGTGCACCTTCAGGAAGTTTGCAGACAGCACCAAGCTTAGTGGTGTAGTTGACATGCCTAAGGGACAGGATGCCATTCAGAGCAACCTGGACAAGCTTGAGAAGTGGGTCCAGGTGGACATCATGAGGTTCGACAAGGCCAAGTACAAGGTTCTGCACCTGGGTCGGGCAACCTCTGGTATCAATACTGGCTGAGGGATGAAGGGATTGAGAGCAGCCCTGCCAAGAAGGACTTGGGAGTACTGGTGAATGAAAAGCTGGAATGAGCTGGCAATGTGTGCTTGCAACCCAGACAGCCAACTGTATCATGGGCTGCATCAAAAGAAGCATGGCCAGCAGGTTGAGGGAGGTGATTCTGCCCCTCTACTCTGCTGTCATGAGACCCCACTTGGAATACTGCATTCAGCTCTGGGGTCCTCAGCGCTTGAAAGACATGGACCTGTTGGAGCGAGTCCAGAGGAGGGCCACAACAACGATCGAAGAGATGAAACACCTCTCCTATGAGGAAAGACAAAAAGTTGGGGTTGTTCAGCCTGGAGAAGAGAAGGCTTCAGGGAGAGCAGCCTCTTATTGCAGGCTTTCAGTACTTAAAGGGGACCTGTAAGAAAGATGGGGATGAACTTTTTAGCAGGGCCTGTTGTGACATGGCTAACGGCTTTAAACTAAAAGAGAGTAGACTCAGACTAGAATCAGGGAAGAAATTTTTTACTATTAGAATGGTGAAACACTGGAGCAGGTTGCCCAGAGAGGTGGTAGATGCCCTATCCCTGAAAACGTTCAAGGTCAGATTGGATGGGGATCTGAGCAACCTGATCTAGTTGAAGATGTCACTGCTTATTGCAGGGAGGATTGGACTAGATGACCTTTAAAGGTCTCTTCAACCCAAACTATTCTATGATTTGGTGATCTCTTGATAGAACTCTCTCTTTAAAGCTAGGACAAATAGCTGTTGAGGTTGGAGGCCAAAAGGCCAAAGGTCTGACTGTTGTGACATCCATATATCTTAACCAAGCTGGTGCGGTCAGTCAGAACCCACAGAGAATGTGGAAGCACTCTTATTAAATCCTGAGAACTTCTCCCCTCTCTTGCTTCAAAGGATGCCGGCTAGATTTTAGTCCACTGCATTGGATCTGGAGTCTTAACAATTTTTGTGGCACTAAATGAGTGAGTAAAGGCAAGTCTTGTTAATCTCACCAGAAAAATCTAGTTGCAGATCTATTGAAGCTGAGTGTTTCTCTGTGGATTTTCCAGGTGT